ATTCGAGTTATCATTCTAATTTAAATTTTTATTGCCTAAGGCTTATAATTTTAATGAAAATGTGATTAATGTAGAAAGGAAAACTTTTGTAATGTATTAAATTATAGTTAAATTTCGATTGACAAACATATGTTTTTAATTATGAATTACAATTTCATAGTTTTTGTTATTATAATGTACTTGACTTTTGATAAAAGTTTTTCCCTTTATTATCGATAGCTATTGCTGATGTTACTAGTTTTAACATTATTTTCAAAATTATTATGAACAAATTAAAATGAAAATAATAAATATTCTATCCATTATTATTGTGTATCGGATAATGTATTCTATATTTATGACGTGCGCGCGCGCGCGTGTGTGTGCTTGCATATATGATGAATGTGATACTTAACAGATCCTTCAGAAATGCCACGATTGCAGTTGGACTTTTGACATAGTTATGTTGACTATTTTTATTCACGGAAATTTTGATAGATATCACATTCACGTTAGTCTTAAATTATAAAATATAATTTTCACCATTTTAAACAGTGACCAGTTCAAATAGGAAAATTCTTATTCTTCGTTAAAAAATAATGATGCTTTAATTATTGATTGATTCAAGAAATTTAGTCAATTCTGATCATATTCAGTGAAAAATTAATACTCAAAGAAATAAGATCAATATTAATTCTATTTAGGTAAAGTTCATATAAAAAAAGAAATTTCTCAACATGTATAATGAGATGAAATAAGTGGCGATGAAAAAAAAAACTGTTAATTTCAGTAATGGAGTTTTTTTAAAAAATCATTATCAATACGTATATAGACAGTTTTTATATCAAAACAATATTTGTTAACTTTTTTTAATGTATATCTTTTGTTAAACTTCATAATTTTGTCCAATGGCTGTTTAAATACGCTTATACTTAAGTATAGTAAATTATAAAATTATATAGCCATATTTAATAATATAATATTGCTAAGAGTCTTTTTAAATATAAACATTTATTTACGCATATTAAATTATATTATTGGAAATCAGCCACTTAATACAAATAGTACCGATTTTAATAAAATTGATTCGAATATCAATTGTACATTAATTTCACATATATTTATGTTATTTATATTATATATATATATATATATATATATATATATATATATATATATATATATATATTACAAGATTTGTGCTTGAACTAATGGTTATAAGCTTGATTGGCTTCTTACAATTATAGTAGATCTCTTATTTCAATAATATCAATTCAAGTTTAGAAACCTTAGCAAAAAAATTAAAGAATTAGTATGCATAATATTACATAAAGTTCTAAGTTTCGTAATAAAAGTTATTAATATTATAATTATTTTTTATGATTGTGCAATGTACGTTTGAATTTTAAATATATTTTATAAAAGGAAAAACAGAAAGAATAATGTTTATTATTCTTTTTTTTTTAAACAAATTCTGTGAATATTTAAAACATTTATACTTAATGAAATTACTCTCTAAATCGGTACTATAATAAATTTTTGTACCTAATTAATACGAGTGTATATTCATTCATATTTGCATTTATAAAAAACTCATCATTTACTCAACTGATGCTGATTGTTCTTTTAAATATAAGGTAGAGTTATTTAGGAGATATTTAACATTAAATTATTGCTCACAATTAATTTTTTTTTTTCAAAAAATATAAATTTTTTATCTCTCAAAATGATAATTTAAATTATCATTTCACAGTTTTATTTAGATATTAGCAATATTTCAATATAAAATATATGTATTATAGAAAACCAATAGGTACTCATAAATATTAAAACAATTATTTATTCTTCTTAAATATATATAAAATGGCAGTTACAATTTAAACAAGGATAAAACCAAACGATGTGAAAAATCTTGGAATATATTGTTAGTGCATAAGTTGTAAAGAAAATATACAAGTAAGCATTGGAAGACATCTTAAACGCATGAAAATCGTTTGCTAGTTATTGCATATTAGGTTTTCACATTGCATATTAGTTTTTCTCCCCCCCCCCGCCCCCACATACATTCGCAGCCTCTCGCCGCCCAACCATTCATCACCATCGTCCAACCATTCTTCACCGTCAATCGAACCAACACTTTATCATTCTTTTGTGCATAATAGAGAAAAACAAATTGAGAAAAAAAACTTATAGGCAGGAGCTCCACGTGTACTTGTGTTGCATCAGTGTCAGCGCGCATGCAATTTAATAAGTCCGGCAACAGAATTGGAGCGCAAATCGATGATTAAAAAAATTACTTTATATCAAAATTGTTTAATAGCATTAACAATTTGTTTTATAGATTTTTTTATTTTTGTTTATTGTTTGAAAGAACTAACAAAGACATTGGGCCAATGAATTTTACAACATTTAAATTGTATTCTTTAATCATTTGCTAAAATCGTTATATATGATGATTAAAATGAAATTTTGTATTTTTAGACTTATAAAATAATGCACAGGCTAAATGGAATTTTATAATATAATACGTATTTTTATATCGCTTTCAAATATCAAATAATCGTTAGAATATATTTTTACTTAATTATACAATCAATTAAAATATATATTCCGTTTTCTTATAGGTGCTGACCAAGAAAATAAATATGCTTACTCAAATTCGTTCAAATATTAGTAAATACAAATAAAAATATGTATAAAACACCTCAAAGTAAAAAGTAATGAAAGTATGCACATTTATCCTTTTAATGTATTTTAAATATATAAATTAAAAAAAAAAATGTATCCATTACTATTACTTTATTGATGAAAGCGGCAGAACGGTAATAATGTAATGACCTTGTGTTTATCGGATGCCTGTATGTTATTCACTAGAAAATGTAATTTATTTTACAAACGTGTCTGTGCATTATATGTTGAGTATGCGAGCTGTACACATAAAAATAATATTTTGTTATTATTTATTCTAATTAAATATTCATATTAAAATATGATTAATAATGATTTAACAGTAATAATAATAACAACAACGACGACGACGACGAAAACAACAACAACAACAATAATAATAATTATGCTTAGTAGTATATTACTATTATTATTATTATTATTATTATTATTATAATTATTATTATTATTATTATAATTATAGTTAATGTTGATTATGCTGTTATATAAATTTATTATTTTATAACTATAGAACCGTAATTTAATTTAACTAATTGCAAGTTCAATTTAAGTTCGAAACAGAAAGGTAAAATTGTAAATGTTAAATTGTAAAATGATAAAAACGTAAAAGAATACTTAGAAAAAGTGTTTGTGTAATTATTTGAAATTATTGTGCTTGTCGGTATTCAGTTAATAATGTTCATAATTCTGATTATTAAAATATATTTGCTTAATATAAACAAAAGATAGGAATTATATTAGACGCGTCTCGAGTAAATGAATCAATTCTAGGAAAGTGTCATTTGCAGTATTTGTAGTTTCGTATTTCCTAGTGTTAGCTGATTTTGTGATATTTAAGAATTATAAAACTTGCGACATTCTTTTAAAAGAATCGTTTAAAAAGTCTTATATTTTGGTCAATTTATCATATTTTATTCATATTAAAATTATTGCTATTTATATACTTCTTTCCATCAATTTGGCATTATTCATTTTATCGTAGTTTGCCATAATAACAATTGTCCTAAATTTTACCATTAACTAAGCGAAAATTAATTACGTTGAAATTTAATAAGCACTGTATTTAAAAAACATCATTAGAGAAAAAACAGAAGAAAAAAAACTTGCTAAATTCATAAAAACAAAAAAATCACCGAGGGTACATCCGAACTTACTTTACTTTTAATTGATTTCCAGATTTGAACAAGCAAACATTTACTAAACACACATTCGAGAGATCGTCGTATAATTATGCAATTGACAAATCTAAACGGCCAAATAATGGAATCGCAAAATATTGGATGCGGTATCGTATCATGAAATAAGCTAATTAAGCAATCGTTCGCGCAATCCAGCGTATGTTGATTTGCCAAATAGCCGATCCTTGTAAAGATGAGCGTTTGGCTCCCCTCGGCTTCCCGAGCGACCGAAGCCTTCGAATAATCGCGCACATACAGTCCGTTGGGAGCGCAATTATAGAGGCGCATGCCTATTGGTTCACACACACACGCACACGCTCACGCGCACACACACACACACACATATATATATATATATATATATATATATATATACATGCATAGAGAGAGAGAGAGAGAGAGAGTCGTCGTATCCTGTGTATTTCGATTAACGATTACATGTGCGTCGTCATCGTGGAGCCTCGCCTAGAGACCGATGAACCAGAGTTCGAGAAACGTCCGGGCGGATGGACCGAGCGCGAAAATGGCGACCGACGCGTCAGAGCTCTGCCGAGGTGTTTCCGACAACCACCGCCGCTAGTCCCTCCGCCCGTACGTACGCAAAGGCTATATATATAGGCCGTTCACGAGGATCAGCTGTGTGACTGACTGTAGGCTCGGTCGTGGCTGCTTGCTACCCGGACCTTCGATAACGAACCGACGATCGTATCAGCGGTATTTGCGTGCTTCTCGCTTCCCCGTTGGAACGTCGATTGTCGCCACTTGGCTATCGTCTGCATGCGCATTGTGCGAACGACGTCTCCTTGGCCTTCTATTACTCAATTACGGACAGCTGCTGACATCGAGCCGTTCTTGAGTTTCCTTGTGCCTATGAAGTAGCTGCGTTACAAGAGACAGAGAGAGAGAGAGAGAGAGAGAGAGAGAGAGAGAGAGAGTGAGAGAGCGAGCGAGCGAGCGAGTGAGAGAGTGAGCGAGCGAGCGAGTGAGTGAGTGAGTGAGTGAGTGAGTGAGTGAGTGAGTGAGTGAACGAGCGTGCGTGTGTGCTTGCGAGCCACAGTACGAAAGTGGGAAGTGAGAAGGGACGAGAGAGAGAGAGAGAGAGAGAGAGAGAGAGAGAGCGAGAAAGTTAGTGAGGGAGGGAGCGAGGGAGCGAGGGTGAGGAAGGGGCAGGAGGGAGGGAGTGAGCGCTTTAGAGAAACAGGGAGTGCGGAGCAAACGGAAATATCAAATGCGACCAATATCATTCATGATGTCGGACATAAAAAGCCTGGAGCATCCGACGTTAAAGGTAAACAAAGGCTTCATTCGTCTTTTCCTCTCTGTTGGGACTGGAGATAAATCCCTTTTTCTTTCATCGCGCGACTTAGTTTATTTTCACGTTACATTCTTGTTTAATATTCATAATTAAAAAGATCTTCTATCTCTGCCCTATACACACACGTATGTTTTCCGTTTTTTATGCAATTATCGACTGTACATTTGGCTAAAGAATATTTTGTTTAGATTTGCGTTTTTATAAGCTCACCACGATGTATGTTTACGTTAGAAAACATGTATTATTAGAAACAATGTTGCATTGTTATCTCTTACACCATAAGACACTACTCGAAATTCCGTAGATTTAAATTATCAAAAGTTTCTTGTAATTGTAAAATGTGTGATGTTTAACCTTTTTTTTTCTTTAAATAATAATTAGACTTTACACTTAAAAGTACCGCGATAACATGAATTTATTCTTTAAATTTTTAATTAAATGTTTCATTTGAAAATTGGTCTATTACGTGTTATATTAATTTTTGCTTTAAATTAGCTCTGAATCAATGAAAATTGGTCTTTTGTTTGCAATTCAATTTTCTACTTTCAAGTATATGATACAGATCTTATATTAATTTTATTGGTGATTTATCTTTTCAATAGTCTGAACTTTAATTGTATTTAAGCTTTTTTTAAATTTACGAATTGAATATATTAATTTTCATTTAACACACGCTCTCACAATCCTATTCCAATTACTTATTTTTTATGTCACTGAGCAATAATACAAAATAATGTAAATATTTCTTGTTTGTTGTAAAATTTTTTATTCTTACAATACTTGGAGTTAATTAAATTTAGTCAATAATGATACGTAAGTAACAAGTGTATTATAAAAATATTTTTATTCCTCATTTTAGATATTAGATATTAAGGTATTTATTAAAATTTTCAACTCATATTCCTATAAATTTTAACCTAGAAAATACATATACCAAATATTTAATATAATTATGCTAAGAATAGATATATTTATAAAAGTCTCTTAATTTAATAATATATCCTATTATAAATTTTTGAATCTTCTCCATTATAATATTAATAATTATAGAAAGTAAATTTTAAATAAAAAAATAATTCATATCCTTTTACATGTAATAAGAAAAATATTAAAAATAATTTATGGTTTATCTTTTTTTTTAGGTTCCATACGAATTGTTAAACAAAAAATTTCGCCTAGCGCAAAAGACATTGGATCGTGAAGTATCACATGTACAGGTAGCAGCCAACGAATTAGAAAAAATAGGCTTGAGAGGCGATGGAGAGAGTGTTCCTACAGGTGAAATAACTCGTCTCTTAGGTGGCGTAGTAGCTAAGCTTCAAGTTTTAAAAAGGAAAGCAGAGGAATCAATTGCAGAGGAGCTACAGACTGGTATGGTTTGTAAACGAAGGTTGGATCACCTAAAAGATCATGCAAATACAAATAACAGTGCGGTAAATCAATGGAGAAGGCAGAGACTGGATCGAATGCTTGTAGAATATTTTCTTCGCAAAGGGTATTACAAAACAGCCATGAAATTAGCTGACACTAGTGATCTTAGAGATTTAACGAATATAGGTAATGTATGCTTTCATCAGATTTTTTTTTTTTTCAAATAATATACATTATTTTAAATATTGTTTTTAAGACATTTTAAATTTACAATATTCGAAATAGATATGTGTTTATATAATTTTGTTAAGACTAATTTTTAATTATTACAAAATAATTATTTCTACAATTGTATTCATTTGTAAATATGAAGTTTTCACTTTTAATATTTAAAATTGCAGAAATGTAATTTATTGTTTACAATGGTTTTAATTGAAAGACATTTTTTAATGTATTTTAGATGTTTTTATGGTATCCAGAGAAGTAGAAAAATCATTGGCAAATCATGAAACAGCCAGATGCCTTGGGTGGTGTCATGATAACCGATCGAAATTACGAAAATTAGGTAGTACAATGGAATTTAATTTGCGTATTCAAGAATTTATAGAGCTTGTGCGCGCAGATCGAAGGTTAGACGCTGTAAAACATGCACGAAAGTGCTTTGCGATTTACGAAGACTATCAGCTGCAGGAAATACAAGCTTGTATGGGCCAATTAGCATTTCCAGCAGATCCTCATCATAGTCCTTATAAAGATCTATTAGATGAAAAAAGGTTTTTATGAAGTTTTATTATAAATGAAAAGTGAAATTACGATATTTTTCATACAAACTTTTATTCTAATATTTGTGCATTTACAATTCTTTATATTAAAATAATATTTTTGAATATTTATTTGATTATATATATATATATATATATATATATATATATATATATATATATATATATATATATATATAATATTTATAATAATAGTAATAAATTATTGTGCATCTATGTTATAGATTAGAATTCATTGATATGACGAAACTATTGCATTAAGTTGATAGATAATTAATTTTTTTATTAGCTTCAAAACTTGAAATACTCATTTTTATACAAATATTCATATTAATATTATGATTATATTTTCTAGATGGGACAGATTAATCGAACAGTTTCGTCATGAAAATTATAGACTTTTTCAACTGGCGAGTCAAAGTGTATTTACAGTGGCATTACAGGCTGGTTTATCAGCTTTAAAAACGCCTCAGTGTTATAGTGGTAATAAAGAAGGGAAAAATCCTAGTTGTCCAGTATGTAATGAAACGTTGAACGAACTTGCTACTCCATTACCATTTGCGCATTGCTCGCAGTCAAGGCTTGTCTGTAGTATCAGTGGTAAAGCATTGAATGAACACAATCAACCCATGATGATGCCAAATGGTTATGTTTATGGTGAAAAGGTACCAGTTATTTCTACATATATATATATATATATATATATATATATATATATATACACATTTTTGTAACTTTACTCATAATTTAATTATAAAAATGGAAAAACATTAAATTTTACATATTTCAATATTTTATTTATACCTACTGTTTATAGAATTATATTTTTTTTGTAGATATAAATTAATTATAAATAAACCTATCTATTTAGTGACACAGTATTTTAAATGTCTTGTTTATAAAAAATAAAAATAATTGCAGTTTCTTTAAAGACTTTTAATTATCTATTTATTGATTAGTTATTTTTGAGATTAAAATAATGTTTTATAAAATATAAAGAAAAGCTCGTATTTTTTAAATTAACAATTTAAAATAATTATTTAGGCTTTAGAAAAAATGGCACAGGAAAATAATGGAACTGTAGTTTGTCCAAAAACCAAAGAAGTATTTCCTTTTAAGAAAATCGAAAAAGTTTACGTTATGTAAGCCACTGGATCACAAATTGTATTATACACATTAGATTTAATTTTCTCTTATCTCATATTAGACTAAGGATTTTTGTTTATGTAGAGTATCATTCATAATTACTTGTAAACATAATTGTAAAAAATTATCACGTAAAAAATAAAATATATTTTCCAGAAATATAATGAATAATTTACTGAAAACATCCGTTTTTTTTATAAAAGTTTCAGCAATTGGTTTGTGGATAGAAAAGAATATTATATTTTCTATGAATATTAAGTAACTAAAGGTTTAATAAAATTAATAAATATAATGCTGTAATAAAAATAAAATGCCAATAGTATAAATATTTATAATTATTTATTAAACACCTTATCTATTTAATAGGATGGAACTAGTATGAAAATTTCAAATACATAACATGAGACAAACACGTAAAATTATTTTTATTTGTTTCGCAGTTTTATTTTGTTTTTACATTTTTAAACCTTTTTTCTTTTCTTTTTTTTTTTTTTTTTTTGTTTATTATAAGTAAGAATAAAGTATATTATCGTGCCATTTTTACATTTATAATTAAAAACAAATCACTGGCACTTTGATGGAGATTTGAAATTTTAAATGATAAATTATGCTTTGTCTAAAAAATGAAAAATTTAAAAATGAACACATTATTTGTGATCTAATCGAGGTATAAAAATATTTCATCTACTCTAATTATTAATGATTTTCTATTTTTTGCGGTAAATCGGATTAGATCGCAGTTAAATTTTTTATATTCTTTTTCTGTATTTATTGTCTGTATTACTAATTGACGATTAGCTATTTAGTAGAAAATCAGAGTAAATTTTACCTATAACGTAAGCTATAACGCACATGACAAAAATACAGTAATATAAATTACATATTATTTCACGTAACTAAATATAATTGTGAATGTATGAACTTCATTTATCTAATTACATACATCAATCTGTTTCTACTATACGCATAAAAATACATTTATAAAGGATGTAGAATTTTAATAAACTGTGATTATGAACATAATTATAAAATAAATAAAATTCATATCGTAAGACTCTTGCTTTAATAACAAATCTACAATGTCACATAGTACACATTAAATACAGATAAATCGTATATACTTTATAAAGTATTTCCTATGTGGATTTGACAAACATTGTTAACTCTATGACTCAGACTTTTCAAAAGAGATTATGCGGTTATATTAATGAATGAAGACTTAAGAGTGTCAGATATAAATTCATTGTTCAATACCCAAAAATTGTTAAGATTCCATAAATGAATTGTGATTCCGTATGCACAGATAACGTTATTAGCGATAATAATATATCGCATATTTATTTTTAAGATATCTGACTTATTTAAAACATGTATGTAATAAGTTTATCTCTTATCATTGTGCTTTTTATAAATTAAATATAAAATTTGATAAGCATATTTTAGAATACAAATAATATAATACAAAATAATAATCGAATGATTCAAGCATTAGAATAAAAAAAAAAAAAATTGCAAATATAATTGAAAGATCACTCTCAGAAACTTAAGCATTAAACATTAATAATTAAAATTAATGAAAATATTAAAAATAAAATTAATTTCTTATTTACTATGGATAAGACTACATGATTGTCGAAGACGGGTTGACTCGGATAGATAAATATATTCACGTTTATATCATTATTTTCATTAAAATGCAAAAGTATAAGTTTAGACTGATATTACAAGTAATAAAAAATAATGTCATGCACTTAAATTATTATTTTATAATCTGATGCACAACCTTTGTTAAAAAAAAAATAGTAGTATTTATAAAGATAAAAACGGTCGTATAAAAATGTATTACAATTAGAATCTCATAATAAATTTTCTGCTATACTCAACGAAACATGTCAAGCCTGTAGCAACGTTACATTTATAATTCTTAAATTTATTCTTCATTAAAATTTTCTGAAGAATGAGAATTATAAATTTTTTACTTTTTTCAACTGCCATGTACGCTTTTCTTATCTCTGTTCATATTATAATGTGTATGCGTTTAACAAGCGGCTCTCATTTATTCTAACTTTATTATAATTTTATTTTATTAGAATTTTTAATATCGCTGGTTTTTTGTTTTGAACATTTATAAGGCTTTTTGGTCCAGCTGTACCAATATTTATGTAAAAGTTTTTTTTTGTTTTTTTTTTTTTGTTCATCGCAATTGAAAATCTGTACGATAAACGGCACAGAAAAATGATCTAATGTACTTAAGATTAAACTAACATTGATAATTATATTATGCATAATCTTTCTTATTTTTAACAATTTTTCTACAAATTAAGTTGTACTCACATATAATGCTGTGCAATTATATTATACAAGTATTTTAGGACTTAGATTTTTTTTATAAATTGCATATATACTTTAAATATAAGTATGATATTAAATTTATGCAATCGCAAACAACTTGATTGTTTTTATCCTCAATATATAAAATCGTATATGTATGTTCGTACAGATACTCAATCACGATAATCTTCATTAACTTTACAAATATATAAGTATTATGATTCAAACCAATTAAATACTTTACACTTTCAAACTTACATCCACATTGCCACTTAACTATTATATTAAAATTTTAACAATAAATTTTTTTCTGTTTAACTCCGAGTAGTTTGGTTTCTGGCTGTACATGTTTATTTTAAGATATAATATTAGTTCTATCTCATATTATAACTATTTTTGTTATTCAATTTAATAACTTTCAACAATAACGACGATATAAGAGAACAAGTATTTCTTCTTCTTTTTTCTTTCTTTCTTTCTGAAGCTTAATTTTAACGAATTGACGCATGAGTAAAACCGACTTTCGGCCAGCATTGTAATTCCTTCTTTGTGTTTTTCTTATTATTACAACCAATCATCTTTCTTTTAACTTATGAAAATCAGTACATAATCTTGTGAACGTAAATTTTAACCGAAGGTTTTAACAATGATCGGCATTACCCATGAGAAGACGATGCCGGAAAAGACACCCGTGACGAGAAAGGCCGCGCCAAACATTCCAGCAGTTGATGCATACTGAGGTTCCACTGAGCTGCAATATAATAATTGTTCTCCATTGATTATGAATTTTCATTTTTTAACGTGAATTTTTATACATTTTGTCGTTTTTAATTTATATATCAAATTTGTTTTTAATCACACCATTATTATAGTTTTATATTTCATGTTTTGTATAAAAAAAAAAAAAAAAAAAAACAAAAAATTAATATTTATATTGTTTAAATTATTGTAGCTCATAATGGCATACAATGGCATATTTAAACAGTAATAAGTATTACATTATTATATTGTCAAATCATCAAATTATAGATTTAAACGAAAATGAATGAGGAAATTTTTAGTTATCTCTTTACCTTTGATTTTTACATTGAAATCACAAAAGCTTTAATTCACGAAGTTTCCTACAGGTGTTTGACGAAACTACTTTTCTTACCAATATTGACATTGTCTAAATTCTACTTGAAAAGTCTTTATGATTTGTAATTAATAAAAAAATGTTTAATTGTTAATTAGTTTCATATGTGGTTATAACTTTTTTTCTTTATTAAATATAGATATCTAGACAGCTATGTAGATAGGCTTTTATCAGAATGTACAATTTTAAAAATTTTACTAATATTAAAAACTTTCTTCCAGTTAAATTGAATAGTCAATTGCCTCGAGTGATTATATATATATATATATTTTTTTTGCTTTGTTTTAAAAGAAATATAAAAAACTGTATTATGTAAATTTATAACAAGATCTATTTCTGCATCATCTATTAAATTATGTGTATAAACAAATGATTATTAATCAATCTTACTTAGCACAGTACATCATAGCCACTGATGAGAAGTAACCACTGGTTATACCCATTGTCACAGCAATTGCTAAGAAAATCCAGTCATTTTTAATCAATATATACTGTCGATCACTTAATTCAATACCCTTTGGTAAGTAATTACAAATTAAAAAAAGTGGTATGTACAAAGCGCGCAGCAGAATTGGTATGATAACAAACTTTTTACTGGGCTGAAAATAAATAAATAATTAATTTTAAATATTTTATATTTATTTATTATTATTTATAAGAAATGTTTAAAAATGTGTTTACTCATATTGCTAGAAAAACGAATTTTATATATAAGATTGTTACAATATGTAAATTTTTCTTTACTATATTTGAATGAGCGGATTATATGTAACATCTTCATAATATGAATAAATTAAAAAAAAAATTATGAATAATTTAAAAAAATTAGTAAATACATTGCAATGAGTATAGGTTTATAAAAAATATACAATTTTTATTTTGTAAAGATATAACTACATTTATAAAGTGACATAAGAAATTTATTTACCCATTGGAATAAAGATGCAAAATAACTGCCCAACATCGCTGTAACATTGAACGTCAGAAAGCACATGATGGTGGCATATAACTTATCGGGAATAATGAAGTCAGGATCCGACTTCTGGACATCAGATTGTACGGACGGAAAGAGT